GTTTAAAAAGAGCAAACTGAAGAAAACCACAAATTGGGCTTTTCCTATTATTGGAAGAGTCAACTGAAAATGCTACTAAGATAGTAATAATATTTTCTAAACTTTTATCATGAATTGTTAAAGGAAATATGTTTCATCCTAGTTCTGTGTTGCAAGATGGATGAGCAGGGTTATTTCACTTGGTTTTATGTATGCTTCTATCCTCAACTGTTCAGTATTGGAGATAGCCAGGCACAAAACATAGATATAACCTCTATTTAATTAATAACTGAAGCAGTAGCCATTCCACTTTTATTAGAATTATGAATTATTAATATCCATGGAATCTGTTCTTTTCTATAAACTTTATTTTAGAATTCCAGCTATGTTCCTCATCTGTTTATATCAGTTTCTCACTATTGCCTGGTCAGACCAGCTGGCTAGGTTCAAAAAGTCTAAAGAACAGTCACTGGCTGAATTATTGTGATTACAAAGAGGAAGTCCATCTGTTGTGTGCTTTGTTTTTAAAAATATTTCTAAAGAAGGGAAGAATACTTTCAACAGCCAGATCAGCTAAAAGCTTTCTTTGTCAGACATCAAGCAAAGCAGATTAAGGACTGAAAACCATCCAAAATATCAGAAACAATTCTCATCCAATGTGTCAGCCTTTTGAAGTAGTCTAGACAAGAAGCACAAACCTTTTGCATGACTGTTAACGTAGGTTATGGCTCTTCCTCTTGTCTCCCAAGGTCATTTTCACTGGCCATTAACATGCAGTGGATTTTTTTATAAAAATAGATGGTTGCACTGTTTCACTCTGTAAAAGAGGTTTGCCCCATAACTAAGCTACTACGTATTTCCTCTTGCTCTGTTTGTTTCAAGCCTGCCTGTAGAGACCAAGAAAATGGAAGCTGTAAATTGTCCTGTAGCTGATAGTCTTAGACTTGCTTTAAAAGTTGGATGCCTGCTGTCAAGGAAGTAGCATCAAAAAGTATAGGGAGTGGGGATTAACTGGTCTTCTCCCTTCTTTTAATTGTAAGAACAGATCCTATTCCATTAGGAAGCAATAGTGGACAGGGCTGTGAATATATATCAGGCTGACTCTGGCTTTGACAGCATTCTAAGAGTAATTAATAAATGGAGCCAGAGGGAACTTGCTTGAGGAGAATTAGAATGTGTGAGAAAGAGACAGAGAGAGATTATGTTAATGCAATTTGCACTATAATTTTCTTGTGTTTCAGAAGAAACACCTGGTAGGAAACCACTGCCACTTTTGAGCAATTATGGTTAAAAAGGCTCTAGGGAATCAAAAGATTAATGCCATTTCTTTGTCTAATTCTGGTTTCCTTCAGTCAAAACAGTGAAAATATGAGAACAATACTTGTAAATGTATAGTTTATAATTATACTCAGAATATCTTCTCTATTATGGGAATGAGAGAGTACTATTATTTTGCAAAGCAATTTAACAGTGATCATTCACATTGACCCTGACTTGATCAAAATGTACACTATTCATAAAATAATTCTTTAGTGTGCAAATTGAGTATGACAGGAAATATATGAAAATATAAGAACAACAAAATAGAATTAGATTGAACAAAATCATTCAAAATGTACATTGTTATTATTCTAGGCATTCAACTAGCAGACTCATCTCTGATCCTATAAAGAGTATAAAATCTGTGGTTTTTTTACTAGTCTGAAGACACTTGGCTTTATCTTATATCAAGGAAGAATGTTCTGGTTTTTGTCTTAAGTCATATATAAGAAAATTTATTGAAAAGACAATATTGTACAACATCATGCAAGAAATCCGTTTCATCCACTCCAGTAGGAAACGTTTTCTTAGCCATAGTATAAAGAGAATAAGTTAGTATTAATGTAAATATATAACAGGATACTATTAAAAAAGAGAGAGCTTAGAGGGGTTCATTAGATTCATGGGTATTAGGTTTAGAACAAAAATGCTATATCCTTCTAAGTATTTAGAAACATTATTAGTATATAGCAGCAGAGGGTGCTGATGTCCATTATTTGTTGATGGCCTTGATTGTTTTATTAATGGAGAACCATGGATTGCTCTTATGTTGCTTTTAAAGCAAATTGTATTTAGTCCACAATGTCTGATTGGGGAATCCTCATATTTGCTTTTCCTTTCCATGTCACCATTTTTCCTGTGATTTCATATCAAGAAATACTGCAGCGAAGATATGCATTGAAAATTAGGGGTCTTTTAATATTTCAGAATCATTGATATATCAGGGCAGATGTGATTTGTCAATCATACTTTTGTTGTTGTTGTTTCCCAAATTGTTATAGCATATAAGATGATTCAATTTAGGCTCAATCCCCTTACAAGAGAATAATGAAAAGCTGGTAAAGCCAAGTTATAGAGAATATTTTTGGGAACCGGGTAGGCAGGTTGGAGTTTCCATACCGAAAGAAAAGAGAAATTGCACATTAGAAGAAACTTGCCTAGTTTTACAAGCGCCTAGGTATGTCTGGAAACCAAAAAATAATTACCTAAAGATTTTCATTTTTAGATGAGAAGTGAAAGCAGAGAAAGAAAGCAGTGGCTTCCAAAATAGTACAGGATCTTCAGCATTTCAGTACTATAATTGCACAAAAACAATCTTGACACATATTTTATATGCATTCAGTAAACAGGGTGAGAAAAACTCAATTAGTTTTGGATATTCTTCTACCTATGTGTGAGTTAGTAATCTTCCTTCCTCTATTTTACATTTCCAGAGGGACTGGTTGAAATATTTTGTCAACTAGAAGGTTGGCAATACTGAAATGAATATATTTGTATTAGGAATATTGGTCAAATGATTTGGAATAAGATAATATGACACATGAGTGGGCTCAAATGCCAATATTAAAAAAGAAGCATGGATTATTTTGGCGGCCAAGATACAGGTTACAGGAATACCATGGAATTTCATAGAATTCCATTTCCATTTATTATCTTTGTAGGGGAGATTAGTATAAGTATAATCTTTATTGTCATTGTACTTAAATACAACGAAATTAGGGTTTCAACTCTGTTAGTGTTATAGACTCATGTGGATGTATGCTACATTTTACAGCTTAATTTCTTAATAGAAGATTCTATATTCAGTCCAGTTATCGTAATTGATCAAAAAGGAGAAAATGGGATTAAAACTTAGTTTTGTTTTAATAATTTTAAATAATCAGGACCTCATTCTTTGCCATGTTCATTAATTCACTCTAGGAACCTGTTTTTTTTAAAAAGAAAAGAAAAAAGAAGGCAGTTTTAGCTGTGAAAATGAAGTGAAATTGTAACATACATATTATATGTAAGAAATAATGCCCAATTCATACATCATACTATACCTTATGTTTTAAGCATAGTTTATTGAAAAACCAAATTAGCTGAGCTTACACATAAACTCTAAATCAGTTTAAACATCTATGTCTGGTTCTGACACTAAACCAAAATGAAACAAATCCCATTTATAGTTTCATATGATATGTGGAGTAAGAACCGGTAGGACCTTCAATCATGACCGTAATCCATTCCAGGACTTCAGTTGGCACCCAATTTGGTCGTGACTGGAAGCAAGACTGACTGCGCATGCGCGCGCACACACACAAAAAGGTGCAGAAGGGGAAATTACTGTGGCTGTGTTTGATCGCCACCCATCATGTGTTTGTAAATAGAGTGAACTCATACTTCTATCTCTGTTCAAGTAATATTTATTATGATTAGAAAAATGTCATTTTATTTAGTTAACATAATTTCCAGAAGATAAATAGGATAAAGTGGAGATCTTGGAGACTTATAAAGAAAAAGCACAGCTAATATATTGTTCTTGTTTTGGGAATAACACATGCTTGACTAGAAACTCCTCCCATAAATTAAATATTTTGCCTATATTCAGGCCTTGTCAATTCCAGATCCTTTCTTTAGTTCCTCCTATAGGTTCAACAATTTGTCATGCTTCTAGGGAAAAATGGGCATTATAGTATAGTGTATCTGGAAAGTAAAAGGATCTTGCTTGAAATGAATTTAGTCTTGGACTGGTTATCAGAATAGAAAAAAATGATAATTTTAGTGAAATAGCTTGCTTTGCCATTGAAAAGATCTAACATTAGGCTTTGGTTTGGAGAGGTTTTTCTTCAGAAAGCTCCATAATTGATAGCCACACAATAAATGCTGTCACTCCTATGCCTTAAAAAAAGGTAAATTTCAACTGAGGAAGCAAGTTGTTGAGTTCCTACCTTTCTACCTGTCAAATGACTGATTGTCACAAGATTTTCAAAAACATGGGGAAGTTCTGATATGTAGAAGGAAAAGCAGCATTTTGTTATGAGGCGGAGGAATAGCTATTGCAAAGTACTGTAGTAACCAGGAAATAGCTACCTCTGTGGTTTTTGGTTTGGTGCTGTTTATACTGTTTCCTTTTTAGACTCTAGGTTTAGCACACGTAGGAGACAGCCTTAAACTCTTAGGCGCTCTCTTCCAAGCATCTTAAATTATAATCCTATACTTCTTAGCCATTGGGTGTGCAATCTGGGAGTAATGGGAGGTAAGAGTGAAATATATCTGGAGTAGATTGGGAAGGTTTTGTAGGGAACATGCAAAAGTACAGGAGCTCTCATCTACTCCGAGGCAAAGTTCAAGGGAGTTTTCCCGCTTCTACGTAGACGCAAGACAGCTTTTCTAAATCTGCCTCTTCTTAACTCGGCCGAACTGGCTGAGGATGATAGGTACTAGAGTTGGAAAGTTCAAGGTTGAAACACTCAAAGGGAGGCTGTGCCGTTATGGTCCCGGTTCTCAGCTTATTTTTAAGCCTCACTACCCGACCCGCGAAATCTTGGCGCTGAACCCCACCCACCCCCTCGCCGCCACCCGTCTGGCGTCGCCGCCTTCCACCTCCCCCCTCCCTTTTGTGTGTGTGCGCGCGGTCCCCCGCTCGTGCTGACGAGGAAGAAGGCGGGGGAGGCGCGCGCGCGCAAAAGAGAGTGGCTTGCCGCGCCCCTTCCCTTCTCAGTTGCAACCAGCCATTGCCGGGGTGGCTTCCTGCTTACTCGCCTCCCCTCCTTTCCGTTGCTGCCTTTGCAGAACCTTCCCGAGGGCGCAGTTTTCGAGGTAGCAGTGGCGGCAGTGGCAGCAGCAGCATTCACATACATACAGACCCTTCCCTTCCCACCTCGCTTCGGTCGCCATGAATCCCAGCTGCGCCCGCTGCGGCAAAATCGTCTACCCAACCGAGAAGGTGAACTGCCTCGACAAGGTGGGTGCCGTGAAGAGAAGGCGCGAGCCCCGCGGGGGGCGGGGGGGGGCTAGTGGCTTTTGAGGGAATGCCTGTGAGGAACTGAAGCGGAGGTTGCGAAGCCGAGGAAGTCGGTGGGGGGGGGGAGACGAGGAGCAGCGGCAGTTGGCAGCCTGGAGGGGAGACCGTTGTGGCTGCTGGTTGCCCGGGTGGGGTGTGTGTATGTATGTGTGTGCGTGTGTGAAGGGAGAGCGTTCGCGGGGGACGGTTGGGGTGGAGCGGGGCCGAGATGTCAAGGGCGGGATGGTCGTGTGCGTGGAAGGGGAAGGGAAGGCGGGCCAGTTGGAGGAGAGGGATAGGCAAGGCTCCGAAGGGGTGGCTTGCCGGAAGGGGAGAGCAGGCCAGGCTGAGGGAAGGAAGCGTGTGGAAAGCACAAAGAGGGCATTTTAGAGAGTGGCCATCGGGGAGTGGTTGAAGGAACAGGACGTGGGAGGATATAAGGTACAAGGTATAGCCTGAACAAAAGGCGGGCTGCGTAGAGGAGGGAATGGGGGAGCGGGGAGGAACCCAGCGCTTCCTAGATGTGGTGGAGCTGAAGCAGTCTTTCTGGGTGTGGAGTGGCAAATCTCCTGGTGGACCTGAATTACGGTACATGTGCTTTTTGGCAACTTAATGGTTGTGGGGACAATATAAAGTATGGGGTATCACCTGTAGAATGGCGGTTGGTGACACGTTGAAAGCTTGATACTTTGGAGGAGGGGAGGTGGTATTGGTAGCTGTTAAGGTTCAGATTCTGCTTGTCATGGATTTATACAGAAAAGTCAATTTGGAACCGAATCTAAGAGAGAAGTATGAAGAGAATTTGAGAAGCCTGCTGATCTCTAGCGACAGGTGTGCCTTACTGCTAATACAGTAGGCCTGCAAAGAAAGTATGAAATATATTCAACAGTTATGTTATTGGAAGTGTATTTTAGGAAAGATGGAGTGGTAAAGAAAACTAACAGGATTTATATTTTCAACTTCTCAAAATTATGGATTAATTTGACACCAGTTTGAACTGGGAAATATTGCATAAAGACATTGTGGATTTAGGGAAAGAATATTAAAAGCAGGACAAGCTATTGCTAAGTAATTAATACGTTTGACATTGTTATGGTGGTTATAAATATAGGATCTATAACGTAAAGACTTCTCACTTTATAGTTTTGCAGTAATATAACTTCAATAAAATAAATTATGCAAATAGCCAAACCTAAGGCTTAGAAAAGCTTTGTTTTTAATTTTTCTTAATATATTGTTACCTTGCCTAGAAAGCATCTGCTTGCTTATTACTGTATTTTTATCAAATTACCTGCCCATTTTTTAAAAAAAAAGAGGAATTACAAAATGATTTTATCAAATTATTTCCAGCAAACAAATGAAGTAAAGGTTATATAGAACAGCTGATTTTGATATTGAAGACATTCCAGTTCTTATTTGTCAAAATATACAGGCATTTGAGCCACGTTTTCAATTGTGTGTTTAAGCAAATGTTATTACTTTAAATAGTTTTCTAAAGTATTTTAAAAGTGGCTTTAAATGAAGCAGCTATCAAGAGAAGCTTTCTACCACTGTTTGCTAAAATTAAAAAACAACTTTGTGTATCAATAGCTAAAAAGATGAACAAATTAGCCATCTGTTTTATATTAGATTCTATTCCCTTGCCACTTCCCTTTGGATTGGTGATTAATTCAGTGTTATAGAGTTTATAAGAACAGATCCTTTAAAAAATGACTATTTTGCTGTTTTAAAAAATCCTGAGTGAAGTATTGTACGGACTTTGCTGTGTATCATGTTTATAATTACAAAGACTTTATATGCCTTGCTCATCTTATTACATATTGGCTTTAAAAGTTTTTGACTTTTTAGATTCATAGTTGATGTGGCAACTTTGTTTCCCCACTTAATATCCTTTATTAAGGGGAGGAGATTTCTGTCATAAACTGCAACTACTAATTATATACTACTGAAATAGTGATGGAGCTAAATCTTAATGAATTTTGAGTTAGATTTATCTGATGTACAGATAGAAGTAGGGAACTACAGATTTATCACTTTTGCAGTAGACCTTCCTTAAACAGCTTACACTCACAAGTTATAAGGCAGGCCTATCAAACTGGCAGCCCATGGGCTGGATACATCACATGCAGGCCACGCCCACCCTGTCTCCGCAAAGGCAGAAAACGTCATGATACATCACGATCCGGCCCATGATGCAATCGAATTTGATCCCTGTGTTATAAGGGCTAATTCATGATTAGAAATGAATCTATATGCTGTTGAAGACATTTAGTGGTAATTAAGAGGAAGGGGAAGGTTACACCAATTACACAAGTGACATTTTTCACTGCACTGCAATAATATTTTTTCTATTTATAATATAAACATGAAAATTATGTCTGAATGTGCCATATGCTAATAGATTTGTGTGACACAACCTGAACATTATGTTTAGAATCATTGTTTTTTTTTCAAGTTCTATTTTGGTATTAAAAGAATGCAAAAACTATGACATAAAAGTACATTTGGTCAGTTTCCAAAGGTCCAATCTGTGATTTAAAAACAATGGGTAAGCATTGAAATTTTATTGCGTGTAATATTTAACAATCAGTAATGGCGAACCTTTTCGGCACTGAGTGCCCAAACTGGAGCACTTGTGCATGCTTGTGCATGTGTGCATGCCAAAGCACCTGAGCACTGAACACCAATTGGCCAGTGCACGCATTCTAACATTCCGGCTATGTTTTTGGCTGCTTTTCAAGCTGTTTTCAGGCCATTTTGGGGCGCATTTTCAGGCTGTTTTTGGGGCCGTTTTTCGGCCTGAAAACCAGCCTGTTTTTTTAACCAGAAGAGCAGCTGGTGATGGCACGTGTACCCACAGAGAGGGCTCTCTGTGCCACAGGTTCACCATCACAGAGTTAAATTGTTATGGTTGTCACTCTTCAACAATTGTGGGTGCGCTTGCAAAGATTAACAGTAAAACAATATATTAGTATTAACAAAATATGACCATGCATTACACCAGGGACATATATCTTCCATTCAGGATAATACCTCTCCCATGTGAGGTGCCCTGCACCGCGTTTTCTGTCTGGAAGGCCTTCTGCAGCACTTTGCTGGCCAAAAAGGGGTGCATTTTGGCTGGCAGAGGGCTACAGGAGGCTATCCAGGCTGACAACGGAGCATAGGGGGGCGTGCACATGTTTTAATGACAATTAAAAGTAACACATTTTATTATTTTAGAATTCAAGGAAAACTATCAAATAATATATGAAGTAAAATCAAAGTTTCTCAAGAGTATCTGTACCCATATGGATCTCTTTATTGACAGATTCCATGTAATTTGTTTTCTTTCATCAAGGACAAACAGCAGCTTTCTAAACAAGACTATCAAGCAAGAATTGGTACACTACTATTTAATGATCAAGAACAATAGTTAGATTTGCTACTCTTCTGAACACCCACAATCAGTGATAATTGCAAAGTATCCTGGAGTCAGCTAATAATATGGGAATTCACCACACCCAATTTTTAAATACAGCCTAGATGACAAGAGCACATAATGACTCATCAGTATTAGAAGTCTGCCTCATTTTATTGCCTAGAGCAACATATTTGTACCTTTACATGAGTCTGAAACCCAATTCCTCATATAGTTCATTTTTATATTTTTTTTAATTTTCAATGAACATTTGACATAACCACAACCAGGACCTCTTTAATTTATACCCATATATAACTGTATGTTTTCAATCAGCAAACAAATGCAGGGCAACTGGAAGTCTCAAATAAGTCTTAAAAACTGAAGCCTTCTTACCCTCATAATTTGCACAATTTGAGTGACTGCAAATTGAAATTTCATCTCAAATATAAAGTACATGGCAAATTTGAATACTGTTATCAGATAATAAATCATTCACAATAATATGTAACAAAATATTGTAGCTACCAATAAAATTGGGCAAATACATTTTTCATATAGCAATCTTTCAACTTAAAAAGTGGTGTGTGACACAGGCCAGGTTCACACTAAAATTTGCTTCAAATTAATAACCATCTTTCATCCATTGTTTTAAAAATGATTTGTGTCCCAGAATTGTGGTATTCCATTGCTGGAGATTTTGAAGACAAAATTAGACAGCCCCTGTGGTTTAGGGCCTCCTGATTGAGCAAGGCGTTGGACTGGAAAATTTTCAAGACCTCTTACAACAGTTATTCTGTTACTTATTCTGAGATGAAGAGGGACCAAAGAATGTTGTAACACTGAATGTGGCCACTGTAGAAACTATGACTAGTGCCTAACAAAAAGGAAAGCGACGAACAATCATATATAATCATAGCTTTGACGGGTTTTTCATTATTTAATTAACCTAGTATTTACATAATACATGAATGATGTGCCCCCTCTCAAAAATTATGTTCTAGGATCTTTATAGCGTTTAAGATCAAAGAAATGACTGAGATGCTTAGCTTCCATGTTACGGTTTAATGCAATTTCGGTTTAGGCAGTTAAGCAAAAATAAATAAATATTATTTTAGTACATGGGCTCCCCAGTTCATCTTCTATTGTAAATTCAGGTAGTCCTCAACTTTCAACCACACATGGGACTGGAATTTCCATCCTAAATCATATCATTATTAAGCAAGTCATTATATGACCAGTCCTGATTTTATGATAATTTTTACTAAATTAAGTGAATCTTCTGATCATTAATTGAATACAATTTCCTCAGTTGATGTCGCTTATTGGAAACCATTAGGAAAGTTGCAGATGACCACAGAATCCTGCAATCAGTTGTAATTGCAAACCAGTCACCTAGTGTCCAAATCAGTGGTGTGATGGTTGTAACTTGTAAAAGATCCATTGCAAATCACTTTTCCCAAGGCCATCATAAGGTTGAACAAATGGTTGTAAATTGAAGATTACCTGTATATTCTTTCCACTATCAGAATAGTTGCAGGTGACAATTCAGTGCTACGTTTTCTCAGTTCAGAAATTTCTGTGCCTATTTCAGAAAACATGAAATCTTCCACTTAGAAATGCTAACATAAACTAACTCTGCTCTTAATCTTGATAATAAAATAGCTCTTTCAAACCAATGGGAAACTTGGTTTTCTTAAATATCAGAAGAGTATTTCTATTGTAAGATCACATAAAATAACTTCCATTTGGGTTAATACAGTTAATAAGTTTAATAGTTACAAACTAGTTATTTTAAGAACTTACTAGTATTTTACTAACTAAATAAAATACATGTTTTTCTGGACTTGTTCAGTTTTTGTTTACAAAAAAAGTTTTGTTACATTTGAGCAACATAAAGTTCTTACAGTGAGCATCTATCTAAAAAATCCATCAGGAATGTATGACTGGTACAAAGATATGTTATCTTTGGATATACATTCTTTAGTTAATTAATCCACTTGAAATGTTTCTTATATTTCCACAGTACTGGCATAAAGCATGTTTTCATTGCGAAGTCTGCAAGATGACTCTCAACATGAAAAACTACAAGGGCTATGAGAAGAAGCCATACTGCAATGCGTAAGTATGCTTTTCAGAGTTTTGTTCTCATAATTTTAGAGATGCACAAATCAAAACTATTTTGTAAGGAACTATAACATTTATAGATCTTTGTTGAGATCTTAAACCATTTGCAGATAAACAATATGAAGAAAAAAACTGATTGAAGAATGTACTCATGGCATTCTTAGTCCTATGCAGTGCATTTTAAGTTTTCTAAATTTCTAAAATGAACTGTGTTAAGCTTTCTATTTCTTTATCAATATGAAATTAATGACAATAATATATTAAATGACAGTGATACCAGCATGACATGTCTTGCTAAATAAAAAAAAACTGGTGTCACTGTTGGTTAATAAGTTTGTAACAAAATATAAAAGGAACATTTGTGGTTTCACTAAAAGAAAAAAAATCAGAAATAATTCCTTAGCAATAATCTAATTGCTGAGAGATTTGAGACTGAGGAACAACTGTGATAAAGCAGAGTGGTAATCACAGAAGGAAGAAGAGCTACATATTTAAACATGCTTTGGAAAGTAATAACCAAGTTACTGCAAGGGAAATTTTAGTCAGCAGTAAGGAACAGAGAATGTTTTCTGAGAAATAGCCTTATTAAAAAGAGAAACTGAGGGCAAGTTACAATTAGAATGAACTTTTTAAATGAAGAGCAGTTATGTATAAATTTAAGCAGAAATATGTAGCATGAAAAGCATAGCTGCTAATTGGGCAATAATATAAATTGCAATTACTGTTTCCTCAGATCTTGGTCTTCTGGTGGCATTGTTTATTTGGGTTGCCATAATATCTTCTAAATATATATTTTAAAATAGGTGAACAGGTGTTCTGGATGGTGCTGAGCCCATGTTCCAAGTACTCAGAAATAGCCTTTGGAGATAGGCTTGGAAGGATTGTATAGTTGTATGGTGTATTACAGATAATAAAAGCTCCTTAATAAGTTTTTCATTTGGTAAAAATATTATTAGTTGATTTCCTAAGTAAATTTCTTAATATTGTAATCTAATTTAGGATGATATTTTTAAATTTCAATATAAGAAAGGCTTTCTGTTTATATCACTGCTACATATATAACATGTTGTATGTATGTATAAGTAAGGGAAGCATGAGTAATTTCAGTGATATTGATCTGCTTTGGAAATGAAAACATAATTATTTAAAAATAGGAAGACAAAAATTAAAGTTAGCTGTGGTAAATTTTCAGAATTCACATAAAAACTAATGAAATGTTTGCCTGAAATCACTGGACCACTTCTGCTATTTGGATTCATTTAAACAAAAAGAAAAAAGATTTAAAATAATATTTAATATTAGCAACTTCTGTAAGGCTGTTTTCAAAGTAAGAAGAATGTAGTCATCCTCTGCTAGTAGTACTATGAACTGCACATTCATATCTGTGTGTGTTAGAGTACAGAATGTTCCTTATTGGGAATGGTCGTTTTGAATGTTCCATTACTTGTACAACAAAATAAAATACATGTCAGACTTGGGACAAAATGAGATATTTTATTCCAGATTATTTTGAATGTTCAAATATGCCATAGTTAAATTCTCTAAATCCACCAAACCATGGTGAATATATATTTGCCAATAAAATAGCAGTTATGGGTTACATTTCTGCTGCTGGATCCCTGTGGAGCTACTGAAGAAAGAAAGTCTTAGGTAAGAAAATTTATTAGGATAATAAATTAAATTCATTACTATTTGCCCAGTAAATAAATTGAATGCTGGGTATGTATGTATGTATGTGCTTGTTTGTTTGTTTGTTTTTGCTCTGTGAAGTTAGGGTTAAGGATTTGTGTTGTAATAACTATTATCCTATGTGTAATTAAATTGAAATATTTTGCCTCTATAGTAGAGGAAAAGAAAGTTGGTTCAATAACTGAAATGAAACACTGAATTGGTGCTGCTACCACAGGTATATTGATTCACTCAATTGGTATTTACGGTAGAAATTTAACATACATACATAAATGAATGTTTTGGTCACTGATGTTACCAGCATTTCTATTTCAGACTAGGTCATAGATGCTTTATAGCAATAGGTCCAAAAATTGAAGAGGTTCCAAATGTACAAACTTCATAGATTATCACATTGATTCTGTACAATGAAACCATATGTCAGTAATGCTGCAACCAACTAAAAATTGCCAGTAAAATCCAAAAATGGCATCTGAGATGCTTTAGGAACATTTGCAGAACGGACCAGTTTTTCACCCAAGCAAGCTACTTAAGAGAACATAACCCCATGAAAGAACATTCATTGCAGGACACCATGGAAAATCTGGATAAAGCAAATTGTAACTGGTTTAGCCCATTGCAAGCTGGTTTTGAATCAAGCCAAAAGAACTGTTTACTGTTTATTAGGATTTGTATGCCGCCCACTCTCGAGGGCGGCTTACAGATGAAGGCAGGAAGGGGGAACATATAAAAATTAAAAAACAGACATTAAAATTTCACAACATTCATATAGCTTAGAATGGGGCTGGATAAATCAACAGCCCCAGGCCTGCCGGAACAGCCAGGTCTTAATCGCTTTGCGGAAGGCCAAAAGGGTAGTAAGGGTCCGGATCTCCACGGGGAGATCGTTCCATAGGGCCGGAGCAGCTACAGAGAAGTAACGACTAGCACCTTGAAGCATGTCCGGAGACCAATGGGAAGCCAGTGCAGCTTGCGGAGGATAGGTGTAATGTGGGTGTACCTAGGTATACCCACTATCGCTCGCGTGGCTGCATTCTGGACTAAGTGGAGTCTTCGAACACTCTTCAAGGGCAGCCCCATGTAGAGCGCGTTACAGTAATCCAGTCTTGAGGTGACGAGGGCGTGAGTGACCATCCGAAGGGCCTCCTGGTCCAGATAGGGTCGCAACTGATGCACCAGGCGAACCTGGGCAAAGCCCCCCCCTGGTCACAGCTGACAAGTGATGTTCTAACGTCAGCTGCGGATCCAGGAGGACTCCCAAATTGCGAGCCCTCTCTGAGGGGCGTATGGTTTCACCCCCCAGGCTAAGAGATGGAATAGTTGGACCATCCTTGTGAGGGAGCATCAATAGCCACTCAGTCTTGTCGGGATTGAGTGCAAGCTTGTTCGCTCCCATCCAGACCCTGACAGCCTCCAGGCACTGGCGCATCACTTCTACCGCTTCGCTGAGTTGGCACGGGGCGGACAGATACAGTTGAGAACAGCAACGGACAAAGTACTTCGGCAAAGCATTGTATCAAATGCCTTTGTCTATGTAGCATCATATCATATTGTCTTACTGTGTGGTTTGGATATTATTTTGATTATTATTACTTCCTATTTTGGCTAGGAAGGCTATGCAGAGTGGTGAGGATAGCAGAAAGCATTATTGGAAGTTCATTTCCTATTCATCTCTTAGCTTATAAGCAATGCTTGACCAGTGCCCGCAGTTCAGGTAGTCCTTGAAGTACAATAGTGCATTTAGTAACTATTCAAAATTACAATGGCATTGAAAAATATGACTTATGACTGCTTTTCACAGTTACACCTTTGCATCATCCCCATGATCATGTGATCAACTGGTTTGTATTTATAACTATTGCTGAGTCCCAAGGTCATGTGATCACCATTTCTGACTTTCTCACAAGCAGAGACAATGGTGTAACACTAAACAACTGTGTTACTAACTTACCAGCTGCAGCGATTCACTTAACAACTGTAACAAGAAAGGTTGTAAAATGGGGCAAAACTCACTTAACAAATGTCTAACTTAACAGATATTTTGGGCTCAATTTTGTTCATAAGTTGATGATTACCTGGAGTCCCTTAAAAATCATATTTGCGTAACCATGGTGATTTGCTTAATGACTGCAATAAAAGTTGTTGTGAAATTGGATCTGACTGGACTTAAGCTGACAACAATGTACAATAGAAGTTGTAGTCTCAGTTGTGGTCATAGGTTCCACAGCATATATATTCCAGTAGAACATTTTAAATGAACCTTCTTTTTTCTGGTCTCAGAACAAAACATTTTTATTTAAGATACTGTTTGCTTCAGAATTATATTATGACCAGACTTTAATCATGTGACAAACCAATTCCAACCCCCAGGAATAAGAAAATTTGGATAAAAAATTTGGCCTCTGAAAAATTATTGAAATTATAGCATTTGCTTTATTTATTAAATTATATTACATATCTACAATATCTATAGGCTCTAGGATACTTTTTGCTACTCATGCCTCATACTTGGGTTTAAAATGTTCTTTGTCTAAACTACTGAATTCAAATGTAAAACCTCAAATGCTAGTTTTAGTATATAGTATATTTTATAGTATATAAAATATATTATGGCAGAGCATATTCATGGTTTGACATAATATTGTGGGGGTGAACTGCAACTATGTTCAAAGTTGCTTACAAGGTTCTCTTTTCTAAACAATCTCCATAAAATCTGGAATTGAACAATGAATGTCCTATCTTTTGGGAAGGTTTGAAGAAGAAAAAGGGCTACGTTTATACTGGCAGAAACAAATGTGCTTCTTCAAATATGCTTCATACAGACTTTCTTCTGTCCATTTTCTGGATTTGTGCCCAGTTTTAAGTTTATTTCTTAATGAGAGCAATACAATGAAAGCTGTGCTTCCTCTCTACTGTCATGGTGTCATATAGTAAGTTGAACATAACTTTCCAATGGGAGCTGTTGCTTTTTATGCCCTCTTGAGTTTTTTCCTCATTGGTGGTGTAGGGTGAAGGGGGCACATTTAGTGCAATCTCAAGGATTTACTTCATAGTCTCTTCTGTCAACAGTGCAAATTGCCACATGTCCTTGGATTTAGAAAACTGATCACAGTTGTTGCTGAAGACAGAACAAAAAACTGATTTAAAGTGGAAATAACTGGACATGAGGCATCATTTCCTATTGTTAAAGCTGTTATATAATGGAACAGATTCTCCCAGGATATAGACTTTGTTTTGCTGGAACAGAGATTGAATAGATATAGTAATTCATTATTATAGAATCTGTCAGGGATTATATAATAATG